ATATGTTCAGACATATTCAGTATTTGGGATATCGCACACAATAATGTTCATCCAGAAGTGATTATATATAAGGATATTGGATATGATATAGGAGTATTCTATTGGATCTAGTATATTGGTGTACAGTCCTTGCATCCCTCATGCCTTTCACGCCGCTTTGATCCGGTCCGCCCTTTGCCACCTGTGTCGCGAAGCGTCTACACCGAGTCTACACCGAGTCACGGCCCAGGTCGGCACCGAGTTTGGAGAGTTCCTTGGCTTTCGGACCCAGTTCCCAAGTTTGGTTTGGGACTTTAGCCCTTTCCGACCCAGTTCGTCAAGGGATGTGCGGTCGTTGCTTTCGAGGGGATCAAGCCCCGAAGCATCCTGTTTTTAGGTCCACCCCGAACACGGGGGATGCCATGCCAGCTTGCGAAATGCTGTCTCCACACCAAATGCGAAGGGATACTGAGGTGTTCCCGTTTCCTCCATGTCACCGTGCGACCGTGGTAAACACCCGTGCGACCGGACCGTTCAGCGTCTGGCGGGAACCAGGTGCGGAACGGCCAGCGGAATGGCGACTGGAAGCACTGCGGGAGTTGATGAAGATCCATCAATTGGATGCATACTTCGTGACCAGTGAGGACGGACTGGACGGATTGGGGATGAGGATGGAATGATGGCATTTTGGTCACAAGAAAGGAGTTTTGAGACAGCTTTAAACAAAATTCCACATGTGTAGCATGTTCCCTTCCGCTTGGTGTTTATGGGGACATACCCATGCTGGGTCATATTGCTTCGACACAAGGCCTTTCCTGTGACTGAAAGCAGCGAGAAGCAGTAAACCTTGCAGGATGCGCATGCTTCAGAATATGTTTGTTCCGCAGACGAACGGAGAAGCTTCTTGACGGGATTCTCAGGCAGTGCAGGCAGCGCGCTGGTCACTGCTGAGAAAGCGCTCCTTTGGACAGACAGCCGTTATTTCCTGCAAGCAGAAAAGCAGCTGGCAGGAACCGAATGGGTGCTGATTCTCATCTTTGTTAGGCAGAATTCTTGCTTTGAGTTCAAGTTCCTAGTCATTTAAGTTGAAAGGAATAGAGGCGGTATAGGGTTAACTACTTTCCCGCTTCGGATGGAACAGCAAGGATGCGTCAGTTTCAGCCTGGCGTACCAGAGTTCTCTGACTGGGCCCTTGAGCACCTCAAGGGTAAATGTGTTGGAGTAGATCCTCGTTTCATTTCAGCAGAGACCTCAGAGGACTGGACATCAAAGTGGGGTTCATCTGTTCAGTTGAAGGAAATAGGCACCAACTTGGTGGATGCTATTTGGACAACTCGTCCAGAAGATCCTTGCAATGCTGTCCAAGTACATCCCTTGAACCTAGCGGGTGAGACAATCGAGAGCAAGCTGAAACGGCTACGAGAAGCAATCAGTGCCGAAGGAGCTAGTGTCATTTTACTTAGCGCATTGGATCAAATAGCATGGCTCTTCAATCTGAGAGGCTCAGACATTGAATACAATCCAGTGTTTTTTTGCCTATGCCGCAGTGTTTCAAAACACCGCCATACTATTTCTTCGGTGCTTGGATGCAAGTGATGGCCTTCCGGATGAAGTGCTTGGCCACCTGAAAGGGGCTAGTGTAGAGGTAAGGCCTTACAAGCAATTCTTTACGGAGATTGCGAACTTACTGAAGCCAGAGGAGAAGGTTTTTTCTGGAACCGTCATCCTCCTCCTTGGCCTTGATGGGTTTGGTCAGACATGACCTCAGAGTCACAGGGATTTCCCCAGTTGAAAAATTTAAGGCCTGCAAGAATTCAGTGGAAATTGAGGCTTTGAAGCAAGCATGTAAAAGAGACTCGCTGGCACTTTGCGAGCTTTTTGCCAGTTTGGAGGCAAAGTTGTCCCTTTCGGAAAGTGAGCAAGTGCCAATCACAGAAGTGGATGTTGACGAGATGATGAAAGACTGTCGCCGGAGGCAGCCCTCGTACGTGGCTGATAGTTTTCCAACCATCTCATCCGTTGGTTCCAACTCTGCAGTGGTGCACTACCAACCAGAAAGAGACAGTTGCAAGCGTCTTCTAGCAACAGAGATGTATTTGATCGATACGGGTGGACAATACAAGGACGGAACGACAGATGTCACGCGTACCATGCATTTTGGATGCCCCACAGAGGAGCAGAAACGCATCTACACCAGAGTCCTGCAAGGTCACATTGCATTGGCAAGTGCTGTGTTCCCAGAGGGCACCCCGGGGCTCTTGTTAGATGCCTTTGCTAGGGGGGCCCCTGTGGAAGGATGGGTTGGAGTATGGCCATGGCACAGGGCATGGCATTGGAGCCTATCTAAATGTGCATGAAGGACCTGCGCAAATTGGTGGCGGCGCTGTCCCCGGAGACAAGATTCTGTGCAACGAGCGTCGGAGGAGGATCTTTTTGATGCCCATCCAAGCTGGATTCTTCCTCTCAGATGAGCCTGGTTGCTACAAAGATGGAGAGTTTGGGGTCCGGATTGAATCTGATATTTTGGCAACCCCAGCAGAAACTCCGTACAAGATGTCCACACGTCGCTTCTTGAAGTTTGAGTACTTGACATTGGTTCCGATGTGTCGAAAGCTGGTGGATGTGTCCTTATTGTCTGTGTCGGAGCAGCAGTGGATTGACAGCTATCACGCTCGTGTTTGGGAAGAGCTGAGAAGCTCTTTGCACAGTGAGGCGCAGAATTGGCTTTGGGAAGCGACTCGCCCGTTGAAGGCGTGAGAAGAGCCTGAGCGTGATCGGTCTGCCCAAAGTGGAGAAGAAAACACGCGACATGGTGCAGTTTACTTGCAATATCTTCCGGTCGTATGGGGGACATGGTGCTGCAATGTGCTCAAGAGTCTTTTAGGGCTTATTTAAGACTTGTAGAGCATATCAGAGCCGGCCGTTGCGACTCCGCTTGCACACTCATTACTATGAGCCAATGGCGCAGGCATTGCCAGCCTTTCGACGACTGTCCGAAGGCTTTCAAAGGTCCGGGGCCTAAGAAAGACCGATCGTCGTCTTCCAAAGACGTCCCCCCCGCTCTCTCAGATTAGCGGAATCTGGAGCCAGGCTCCCTTGCCCAAGTTCTCCTCGTTCCATGTTCTCGAGCCCCTACTAGCGTTCTTGCTCCGAGTAGTGAGACCAGGAGCCCCTAGTAGCGTCCTTGTTCCTAGTAATTAGCGATGCCCTTTGCTCCTAGTAGCGTCCTTTACCCCCCCTCCCTAACGATTGTTGTGAATCGAACGCCGGCAAATATGGATCCAGGTGTTGATCGCAGTCGCCGTAGAACCCTGGAGCCAGGCTGTATGGAGAACCGGATTTTTGTGGGAGTTTGTTTCCAGTCGTTTGTGTGACTTTTCTCAGTATAGTATATAGTATTGCTTTTGCTTCGGTTGTTGCTTTTGCTTCTGCTTTTGCTTTGGCTTTTGCTTTCGCTTCTGGATTTTTTGTTTGCTTTTGCTATACGTTTTGTGAGCCATCCGAGGGTTAAACTTTAAGGAGGAAGGAGCCGGGGCCATTCCAA